GTCACTCTTCTAGTTGCTATATATGTTTCTGAATAATTTAAACAACTCTACGTGGTTGATGAGGGAGGTAAGTTTCTAGACACGATAATGTCAGATAGTATAAGTCTCTAGTTGCTCTTGAAGCTTGAAGAATGCCTGCTTGTTGGGGCAGAAAGAGAACAGGTGGCGGACATATATGACCATGAAGTCACATAATGTCTTTGCCCCTTAAACATGAACTTTTTGAACTTTCGCTAGAACTCTGTACTATTTGGTTTTCGCATCAATTAATAACACTCTTTAGTCTGTTTTGGGGCTATGTGACAAAATATCATTCAGTAGTTGTTTTTTAATGAAAAAACTTTTTTTTTAAATTGAGTCAGGGTCCAACTCTGTAGACCAAGCTGCTGTACAGTGGCAAAATCACAGTTCACCTTGAACTCTTGGGCTCTGACTATACTGCTGCCTCAGCCTACCGAGTAGCTAGAACTACAGGAGTTGACCACTACATCCAGCTATTTTTAAAACATTTGTTGTAGAGATAAGATCTTGCTATGTTGCCTAGGCTTGTCTCAAACTCCTAGGCTCAAGCAATCCTCCTGCCTCAGCCTCCCAAAGTGCTGAGATTACAGGTATGAACCACCATGCCTGACCCCTCACAATTCTGGAGGCTGGGGAGTCTCAATTCAAGGTAGATCTAACTTCTGGTGAGGATCCTCTTTCTCGTCCATAGAGGACCATATTCTCACTGTGTATTCACATGGCAGAAAGGGTGGGGAAGCTCTCTGAGGACACTGACAACTAAATCACAACTCACTTGCTCCACTTCCTCGTATCATCAGCTGGCAGTTAGGATTTCAACATACACATACACATTTGTTTTTTTGGGGGAGGGGCACAAATATTCAGTTCAAGACAAATATAATCTTGCATTTTTTTAAAGGCTTATTAAAGATGTATGTATACTTTTTGTTTGTAGTGTGTACAACTTTTTGATTGGAGTTACCTCTCAATATAGTTTCATTATTACTTAGATAAGGGGATCATGGAAACATTTATAAAGAAAGTGATGGTCTCTAAAAGATTTCAATAAGAGGAATGACAAAGTTATATGCAAAAAGAAGGAGCTGCAAGTAATTCATATTAGAAAAGATTAAGTGTTCTGGATGCCGATCATGAAAGGCCTGGAATTTTAGCCTTACCATTTTGGCTCCCAAACAACCGCCTGTCTATTTTAGTTCAGTCCATGGGCTAAGGATGGTTTTATGTTTTTAAATGATGGAAAATACATGAATTTTAAATCTCAATGCCTGTAAATGAATTGTTATTTACAAGCAACCATGATCACTCATTTACACAAGGCAGAGAACATATGTCCTGCACGGTCTAATATTTACTTTCTGGCACTTTACAGAAGAAGTATGTTGACCCTTGCCTTTGTTGTAATTCTTTTTCTTCCATCGTACTTGATGACCAAAAATTTAGAGAACCCTTTTAATACCTTGGGGACAAAAATACCAATCAAGGTGCTTCTTTATTTTCGTGTCTCTGACATGTCACTTGACCAATGAAAAAGCATGTCCTAGAGGTCTCAGAATGACTCTATGACTTCACTAATTTGGGCCTGTATGACCCAAATTTGATTTCAGGGTATTAGCATTCTTTCTTACTACTTCATATTGTGGGCTACAGTGTGAATAGTTTTTGGTTAAATTTCTAGTTATATGCGTTCTCCACTTATATTTAGTTTCAAACGCTGTAAAGAATCTATTTAGACATAACTTTTCTTTTTTCTTTTTCTTCTTCTGTGTCTTTCCTCAGTTGTTATTTTACATTCCTTCAACTATAATCCTATAATTACATCTAATAATAATGGCCTGTATTACTTACATAGTAATTAGTAATGGAAAAGACAAATGAAAATTAAAATTTTATTGAAAAACGTTTTCTTAAAATGTCCTATTCATCACAGGACTCCACTTTTTGAAGACTAGATCTCTGGCTTATTCTGATATGCTTTGAAAATAATTTTGTATAACAATTCCTTTTGTCTGTGATCTTGATTCATAGCCTTTCATATGAATTCTTTTATTGCTTTATTTTCATAATAGCTTTTAGGCAACCAATCATCATGCATAATTTTGTGTTTCTTCATGACTTCATAGCATCCAGATGTTCGTACCTCATGTTTCTGCCTTTCAGACACATTTAATGAAACAAGTTGCTATAAAAATAATTGCACTCATTTCTGTAGTAAATCTTAAGTTATTCTTTCATAAGTGAGACAAACTTTTACTTGAATATGGAGGTACTTGGTATCCCTTCTGCTAATGTGTAAACCTGAATGAATATCTTAAAGGTTGTTGTGGTTTTGCATTGATCTGAATGGAGATGACAAGTGAGATTTTTAAGCATGTTCTATTACACATAGACTCATAATATTTCTCATGTAGTTAGTCATTTCTATAAAGAATATGAGAACAAACTGAGAAGGCTATATCCAAACTACTTACAAGCGTGTTTTGGTTTCTCAGTAAATGCTTTTAGGTAAATAAGAACACTTTTGATTTATTTTCAGAAGTTCCCAGAATAATATCGGATTTCATAGATAGGCCCAAGAAAATTTTAATGACTAGGCCAGGTATCTTAAAAAGAGGATTCACATTAGAATTATCTGATGAGCCTTCCAAAAAATGTATATACTTTTGCCTCATTCTGCACCTGCTGGATCAACATCCTCTTAGAAAGGGTCAGGCATAATTCAGAAAATTCCCCAGCTAGTTCTGATTCTCACCTTTGATTGACCACCATTTGACTAAACCCAGTTAGATAAAAAACAAAAACGGTAGCCTTATGGAAATATCACAGAATTTGTTAAGGTGATGCTATGGCACTGTTTACTTGGACTCCAATATTTTCATATGAAACCTCAAGTAAGAATTAATACTCTTTTTTTTTTTCCCCTGAAGCAATTCTGTGAATTTTTTTTTTTTTTTTATGGTCAAGGAAAACAATATATCTGGTTATGTTTCTTCTTCCATCTCTCCCTTTGGCCATCAAGATTCTTTGAGTCAAAAGTATAGTTCAGTTTTACGGCTCTTGAAAGCTTAGTATCTGTGTTCCAGTTTTTATTTTGTTGTTGTTTTTGTTTTTCTTGTTCTGATTCAAGAAAAAGAAGCTTAAGAATGTATCAGTACTCTTCTATGTGCCAAAAATATAATAGGTACGGAAAATAATAGTGATGTACAAAATAGTCTGGACTTACAATCTAATAAACTAGACAGATATAAAATGAGCATTTCAATAAGTGATCTCTTGCCTAGATATTGTTAACCTATTTTATGTACTGATTTACATATTTTTTCCTTGTATTAACCAGGGATTAGCCATGGGTCACTTTTTACTTTATATAATAGAGTTAAAATATAATGTGCATATGTATATATGTACGCTATATTTTATGTAAAATAAGTAGTATATATGCATTATGTATGGTATGCTATACATTATATATAGTATAGCATGTATATATATCTTATTTTATATTTATACAACCACATTTTTCTATGTATTTTGATCAGCAGCAACTTTTTTGAGATGGTTTGGAATATATACACCTACACATGTGCACACCCATATGCCACATATATAGTGAGTGATTTGAAATATGATCCTCAATATTATGTATTAACTCATTTTTAAAATTTTATTTTGTTAAATACTGACCACTAAGTACAGTATGTGTTATATTTGAAATTATTTTAGTCTTTACTATTTTTAATTCTTTCTCTTTTATATAGTTAAATGTAAGGAATATTTGAGGACAAATTTTGGAGTTGGAATTAGAATTGAAAGTCATAAAACACTGTTACTCTCTGTATTCATTAAAGCATAAGAAGCATGTTATTATCACAAGCAACCTCTACGTGTTTGTATATGATTCTTGATTCTTTTATTTCACAGATTCTTGATTCTTTTGTTTCACAAGTGCAACATTTAATTGACCTCAAAACTTGTTTAAGCTCCTATGAGATTTGACTTGGTCACTATCTTTGTAGAAAATTTTAGCATGTTAATCCACTTGGAAATGAGATACAGAATAAAGATTCTAAAATATAACTGTTAACCTTTCAAAATAAAGAGGCTTATCATGTATTTTGATGAAGGAATACTGAAGGTAGAAATGATAGGCGCTTCATCACAAATTGGCTATGTTTTCAGATTGAACAGCCTCAGTATGGCGTGGCTGCCACCAAAAACGTATTTTGAGTATCCGAAAGCTCAGAATTCTTTTTTTGTTGTTGTTGTTGAGTTAGAGTCTCACTCTGTCACCCAGGCTGGATGGCAGTGGCACCCTCCTGGCTGGCCATCACAGCCTTGACCTGCTGGGCTCCAGCGATCCTTCTGCCTCAGCCTTCCAAGTAGCTGGAACTACAGATGTGCGCTACCACGCCCGGCTAATTTTTGATTTATTGTAGAGATGAGGACTCGCCAAGTTGCCCAGGCGGGTCTCAAACCTGCAGACTCAGGCAATTCACTTACCTCAGCCTCCCAAAGTGCGGGATTACAGGCTGAGCCACCGAGCTGGGCCAGAATTCTTATGTAGTCCCCCAAACCACTGACATTTTAATTGAGAAATTCAATGAAAACTTATGTTTTTCTTCCGTTTAATGTGTACCCCTGAATCGTGCAGTTAAATTACATGGCTGAAGAATATTACATTGATGTCCCTATTGGAGCAGATTTTTCAATCTGATCAGTTTTCTTTCAAATAATATTCTAAAGACTTGCATCTGTCCATGCTGAGTGGATTAAGTTGGTTCAAAAGCACTTACCATTTTTTATGAGCCAGAAAAGCAGCAAGGATTCTGATTGGCATAATTGTTTATTATATTTGAATGCTGATGGTGCATTTTCATGGCAGAGTCCTTTCTATGCTTATTGACATTCATAAATGAAAAGGCTCTGCTTTGCTGACTGTTTAATTGGTAATTTAATTTTTCTAATAACTTTCTTTACAGGAACTGGATTTTGAAGCCAAAACAAGTTACACACTACGGATAGAAGCTGCAAATAAAGATGCCGACCCTCGTTTTGTAAGCTTGGGGCCATTCAGCGACACGACCACCGTGAAGATAATTGTGGAAGATGTCGATGAGCCGCCTGTGTTTTCTTCACCATTGTACCCCATGGAGGTATCAGAAGCTACGCAAGTTGGAAATATCATTGGCACTGTGGCAGCTCATGACCCAGATTCTTCCAATAGCCCTGTGAGGTAAAGGCTCATTTACTCATCATCTGTACGATGTTGCCTCAATGTACCTCTTTTCACAACTCATGTCTTAAATTATGGTTTATTTTTTTCATAACAAATAGAAACCTGTTTTGTATATGTCTCAAGTCACAGCAGCAGGAGAGAAACAAGATAAGAACACATTTTATTAATTTAACAATGTCACCTGATTATACATACAATGTCACCTGCTAAATTATGTAGCCATAATTTTAGGCATTCATTATTATTCACAAGCCATAGCTGATGCTCCTATTCAACAAATTATCCTGAATCTCTTTCAAAGCAAATTGTGTTCAAACAGGAAATAAGGCATGTTTTAGTTGTAGGATAATTGGATATGTTACAAATAAAAATAATTGTATCAACAACTTAAATTGGGCATTAATTTTTAAACAAATCATTTTTTTATGTTGGTCTACTTGAACAGTACATGTCTATTAATTTATTTTTCCACTCATAAAATAAAATAATACCTTATCTATACATAAGGACTATTACAAATAGTCTTATATCTAGACCAGACACATCCTTATAGCCAGTTAATCTTGTTAGGACTAACAAAAAGATGATATGTAAGCATTTCAAAGTATGTCAACATTTTGTTTTGTCCTTTTTACCTATAATTTATAATCTGAGATCTACATGTGTGTCTCTGTGTATGCACGAGTCTGTGTGTGTGGTCCTAATTTTTTTGTTAATATTATGCATACACTACACTTAAGAGAGAATGTGAATTGTATTGTATGTCTTAATTTGTGTTTGTAAGTAAGTCTACTTTCAACGTAAAGGTTTTACTTTGATTACAAAGACTATAATGTAAAAAAAAAAGAATCAATGATTGTTTTAAATTCAGATATGTTCAGCTTATAAACTATCTGTAGAATTTTGGATTTAAATGATACATATAGTTAGTCCCCTCCTTTTCTTTCCTTTTGCCTGACATTAATAGACCTAATAAAGAATTGGTGGAGGGTACTAGTTATCAAAAAAATGAAATCACACTTTTTATTTTTGTACCTATACAAGTTCAGCATATATAGATGGGTATACACTTTTAAAGTGATGATCATAAACCAGTTGTAAAAATATAATCTTCTATGTTTCTGTGATAAATCACTGAGTATGAGTGACTCCAAATCCATCCAAATTTTTTTTTTAAAGTATATATATATACTTCTGTGCACTGGGATATCAGTGATTCACAAATATACCAAATATAATAAGCCTTTCCTGTAATAGTCCACCCTTCATTTTCAAAAAAAGGTTGCTGACTTCAGTTCAGCTCCACCTACCAAGTCATACTGTCTTTCGCACACTTGAATTTGAATTTTGTTATAGCATTCCCTCTCTTTGTAAAATGCTTAAATCTCCTGTCCTCGGGAGCTATCAACCACACCACAAGTGTAGACATAGACTAGCTACTTAGGATAGTTTGAATGTTGTTAAAATCATTTAATTGAATGAAGAGATATCTGCTTTAATGAAGGTGGGGATATTAAGAAAGACAGAGATACATTAATATATATCATAATTTAGTACTAAGATGAATGAGGGAGCCTGATGTAGTAGTCTCAGCTACTTGGAAGGCAGTGGTGGGACGATTGCTTGAGACAGGGGTTTAAGACTGCAAGTGTACAATAATAGCACCTTTGAATAGCCATTGCACTCCAACCTGGGCAACATAGCAAGACCTCATTTCTAAAAACAAATACAATACATAAAAGAAAGGATTTTTTGAACATTTTTAATGATTGCATTTGTATTTTTATCTTGTTTTAATTTTTTTCTTTACTCTCTCCTTTGTTGTCATCCTGTTGAAACCTTTCAGAGAAAATATTTCACTTTTTATAATATTTTGTTTGAAAACAATACCAATAGTATTATATAATAATTTGAGGAACAAAAAGAAAGAATAGGTTTAAATGGGTTATGACTTGAGAGAGTGAGTGAGAAGTGAGTAGAGAGGGATAAATAAGTTCTAGGTCTGTTCTCTGAAGCACAGAAGTAGAACTTGTCAAAGGCTGAACTCTGTTGATTTTGGAGGTCAAGATCTCTGTGGCATTCATCAGTGAAAGACTAGCTGAGCAGAACCTTATTTTTACCTCATTTTCAGTGTCTTAAAAGTAATGAAGGTGACCTTAAATTTCAGGTTAGTACTAGCTTACATCATTATCTTACAAATGGAGAAATAGACAGACTTTGTTCCAAGTGATCTAAAATGTTATTTTGTTTGTGTGAATATTTCTTTTGCTGTTTTTAGAATTCATTTCTTCACTTATGTTTAATATTAGCATACTTAAAACATTTATTTTACACTATTTTCAGAAGGTCAGCACAATTATTTTCATAGCTTATATTTTTTAGAAATTTGTCTCTCACCTATTTATCTTTTCCTATCCATTTATAATATCCTTTAAAAGGACATTTGCCTCATTTTACAGTTTGATGAGTATATGTTTACTTTTGTGCATCTTCTGGAAGATTAGTTCTTTTCTCAGCACTGCTATTTTGAATGGCCCAGGAGATGTCACCTAACTTTATAAGTTTTTGTTTGAGCCAGGACAAAGGTAAAATTTCTGATGATTAAATAAGAACGGGAAAGTAAATGATGTTTTTAAACTGTGAATGATGACTTAAATATTGCCAAGAATTATCATTCCACTCTGCTCTTATTGGAGATGATGGTGCTTTCATGCCATTTTTATTTTGAGGTCAATAAAGTCAGTAAAAGAGATGTAGTGTTTTGTATGCAACCATATTGGCAATCTATCTTGCAGATAGTTTTGTACTCACATATTTAGTAATAGATAAAGTTACATAGTTTTAAAAAATATAAACATGTTTGCATTGAGCACTCACGTGACTACCAAAATGTAAATTTCCCTTCAACATATACTAGTGGGTGGGTAAATAACAGTCATTTGAAGTACGAGGACAGATGAGTCTCCAGGTTGAGTTGGAACTTGAGTCTTAACAATTGTGAGATTTGTGCTTCTATACCTTTAGAAATACTATAGTTCTTTGAAGAATGAAAGAGTAGTATTTGTTTAATTATAATGGTCTAAAATTAGGCCAATAATGTTTGACATGTAAAACAGTGTGCACAATTGGATAATTAGTTTTGAATTTATTAACATTCTCTGTCATATAATACTGCAATATAGCATATGCCATTTATATCTGTAATATTTTCTGATGGATGATGCAAGATATTAAAATTAGAAGAAAAAAAATTTACTTCCCTCCAACAAGGCAACATTGAGATTCTCTTTTGATATGATCCTTTCTTCCTCAACATTTTTTAGATTTTTAACCGCTCTACCGAAGCACCAACAAAGACTCTGCATAATTCCTCTCTATGCATCTACCCTTTCCTTCAAATGAGACTGGGACACTTATACCACTATCAGAGCCCTGTCATTTTGGTGTTAATAAGTATAATAGTCAGCACACTTTGGTTTCTCTTCAGATTATATAAATCTTGCACCTTTTACAAGTATGGGTATCATAAGTAGAAAAAAATTAAAAATCTTGAAGTCCAGTAATTGGCCAGAATATAACACCATTATGAATGCTACTATCTTTTTAATACTTTGTCTACTCCCCAGATAGCTAACCTAGATCATCACCTTCTTTGGAAATGAAATCCTATAGAATCTAAAACTGTAAAACTTTGTTTTCGTAAGAAAAAAATGACTAGTTGAGGGAAAGCACATTTCTGGTTTCTTATTTTTTTAAGTAGTTTTTTACCCTTTCATGTAAATTTTGACCTTGAATACTAAACATCAAACTTCATCTATTGAACTTGGAAGGCAGATTGTGGTCTCCTGATTCTGATCATGTTTCTGAGTAATAGAAACTTCACTTCCATGTTTCTCATCTAAGATGGTAAAAACTGTAAAAACAGCATTGAGTCTAGAGAATTCTAGACTCATCTCTCATGTCAGCATTGGCAGAGTGATCAATGACTCAACATGCATTTATTAAGAACCTGCTTTGTGTAAGACACTAGGGAGAATGCTGATAGGAAAACAAAGATAAATAAAACATTTCCTCTAACCTTAAGGAACTTACAATCTGGATGAAGTAATAAGATCCTATAAAAGTTAAACAATATGAGGGGAAAAAATGCCAGCACTGTAACATGGCAAATTGTGAGATAAATAATAATCACTCAAAGTTAACTGGCCATGAGACTTCATTTGAAGGAATGATTGTGAAAGCAGAGCTTTGAGAGATGGCAGGATTTGGAGAAGCCAAGAAAACATCATGCAAAGTATGTTTATGTTTTATTCAGTTGTATCCTAAGAGTGTAGTGCTAAATTATGAAATCAGCAAATTCATTTTTGTAGACAGCACAGCAAGCCCAAAGTCCCTATGCTAAAAATAGTCAAAAAGTTGAAACATGATATTATTGCAAATAAGATCAAATGAAAAGACAGGCAAATAAAAAGTAATAGTCATCATTTTCAGCATTTCTAACAATTTAATGTTAGAAATGTGTTTATATTTATGTTCAAAGATGCTTGGATAATATTTACCTAAAGGCATTTTCAGAATTCCTGGTATTGTATATTCTCAGATAAAATAGTATCAGAAATGACATTGTATAGAATGACTAGTATGAACACATTTGTGGCATTTGAATAATTCAGTGTATGTTTTTTAAGTAGCTTGTATGCATGCTTGTTTTTGTATATATTAAATCTAAAATATTTGTGAATAGCTGAGTTTTATAAGAAAGTTAGCAAGCTCGTAACATACAGAAAAATAATACTATCAGTAAAATTGTCTATTTTAAAAGTAGCAGATATTGCCGGGCTCGATGGCTCAGCCTGTAATCCCAGGGCTTTGGGAGGCGTGAGCCCGTGGGTTCGAGACCCACCTGGACAACTTGGCGAGACTTCATCTCTACAATAAATCAAAAACTAGCCGGTCGTGGTAGCGCGCACCTGTAGTTCCAGCTACTTGGAAGGCTG